TGCGTGCGTGCGTGCGTGTGTTAAGTGCTTTGAGGGGTCGCAAAGACTGGATAAAGCACTATATAAGTACACTCCATTTACCATTTACATGTATTTGACTCAAGTGTACTTCCTCACCCAGGTAACTGTCGTCATAGTTCCCCTGCGACTGTCTGGTCTGAATCTGTCCGACAACAGAGAGTAGAAAGTATGAAGGGTAGTAAGCCTTCACAATCTCCTCTGTGGTGGCTGAGATCAGCTGGCCTGTGGGATGATTGGTTGACAAAGGGTTAAAAGTCAGGGGTTAAAATAAGACATGTGACTTTTGAACTCTTGCTCCTGAACTAAAGCTTGTTTAAACACAAAGGCATTGATTTTATGAATCTTTTGAAAGAAAAATCCATGCAGTTTCACATTCTTTGGAGCTCACCTTGCCAGTAAAAACTGCCTGGTCCTCCGAGCACAACCCTCCCGTCCTGAAACACAACAGTTACATCATGAGTGTCAAACAAACTCTGCAAATCTGATGTAAACAGCAGAATCTCCACTGCTTACTTCAATCAGAACAGATTAGCTATTTGTTGGATTATGGGGGAAACAAAAAAATCCAACAAATGTTTATGTTACCTTGGTGAAGTCTGCACTAAATCCACCTTGACAAAAGCCCTGTCCAACCGGTCCATGTCTTTCTGCAATGCACAGCATCAAACATGGGACACTTAACATAACATTTAATACACATTTATAGACATACACAACAAAACAAAACAATCTGCTGTGTTGAAAGACAACAGAACAAACCACAAAAAAAGTCCAAATTCAGGGCAGATTTGTAGCTTTTAATTTATCTCGTGACTGTTTTAACTATCTGGTTTAGTCAATACGTTTAAAAAGTTGACCTGAATTGTAGACAGCAACTTTCATAAGATATACAGGTAGCGATATACAGAATATTTAGCACAGACACATTTATACAAACTGTCAAAATGCTAGAAAACAAGTTAAAAAGAGAATAGAAGTTGAAGGTGTTTTCTTCGATAAGTGCACAGGTTTCCAACAAATATTTGAACTCTCTTCTCGATCCACTCATATGGATAGTGTCAGTGTTCTGGGAGTATAACAACTGTGTGGTTGGGACATTCCCGACCTTAGTACTCTGTATATGCAAGAGAGAGTAACTCCTCTAATTTACTTACTTTGATTTGGGCGATAATCTTGCTCTAAGTTATTGAATGATTTGGGGGATTTAGTAAAATGTCGCCATGGACTCAGATAGCTTTGCAAACTAACGTTTTTTTTGCCTACATTTGTTAACAGTCATACAAGTACAAGTATGTGGAATAAGCGATTAGCAATACCTGTTTGCAATGCACCCAGGTACAAACAACTATCACTGGATTACTTTGGCATTGACGAAAATTTAAAATCTTAAGTAATACGGGATTTTAAAGGGAGCTTTCTTAATCTGGCAGAGCTAGTGTTAGGGCTGCTACATTTGGTATCCCCCCTCTGTAACTTTGGCCCGGACGGTCATAATCTCAACAAACTCACACCGGTGTTTGTTATTCTCCTCTAGTTTAAGTAAACAAAAGCATTTGACTCTGAGCCTATCAGATGAAATGTTAAAGATACTTTATGGACGTATATTCGCAAAGGACATCAAGGAATGCTTTCCTCTGGGTTAGGGTTGTTATCGTATCTGTTTGTGTTCTGAATCCAGAGTCAGATCTGAGTCAAACACAGACCTGTCCATTTCACTTTGCATTTTCTTTGCATCACGTCTCAGTTTTTGAAGACCAAAACAGAGCTAAAAGAAGATATTTACAAGGTGGAAAGACACAGACTAAACACTGAATACTAATGTGGCTTTTGGACTAAGGTAAACTACACTTGCTCGGATGTTGGCCACGCCCTCTCTGAAGGGTTGCAGAAACTCACCTGTTCGGCACGGTGCGTACTCAACAAAAGTTTTCAGATTGTCCACAGAGAGGTAGCAGGTTCCTGTGACATCAGCGAAGGGTTCGTCATGTTCGGTTCTCCAGTAGTACCGGGGAGCACAAGCCTGGCAAACATATCGAGAGAAACCTCTCAATGACATCCTGATCCTTACATCACTTATGTAATCAAAGCTTATCCACTGTAACTACACACAGAACGCCTGTTAAGCTTTTAGAGCCCTTGAAATTTGGAAACTAGTAAAACGGTACTCGATGGACGTAAAAGATTGGAGGGTGGGCTCGTTTTCTTGGTAGAAATACAAAAGCAGCTGGAAGTTACGGAGGAAACAATGTGTGCTGTGAGGAATCTACTTCCATGGCCAAAGGGTTACATTATATGAGCCATATGGAGTTTGTGGGATAACAGGTTGTTAAGAATAGCTGGGGAATGTCTCAAATGTTTACTACACATTAAGCGTCAGCTGTCTACGGCTTTGCATTTCATGTGCGGTAATATATTTGATTTTATTTGCCATACTCATGGTTTAGTGCTCACCCTTCCTCCTTGTAAAAGTGCAGCATATTGCTTCAAAATGCAATAAACTGGGACAACCTTTAAACTGTGTTAGTATCTGAACTATGGTTATGGTGCCAACTAGTGTACCCTGCAATATAAGATCAACACTGCCTCTTATTTTCAATGTCTTCTACATTAATTATCAATGCTAGCTTGTTGCCTGGGACCTATTTGTGTTGCTGTGATTCAAACTAAATTGGATAACATGAATTATTGTTACTGTTAGCATTCAGCGTTCACTAACTCTCTGTATAAAAGCTAATGGAAAGTTTATTACAAACCTTTTAACATTATATGGAAACTGACAATATATTTTCTACAAATACATGTAGTGAACAAAATATGTTGTGTAAGTTTACCTATGTTTACAATTTTTAAATCATTGAGGGAACATTCTGCAACCTTGTCTGAAGAGTACATCGAGCTAACCCACATGGAGCTCATATTAAAAAATCCCCAAAATACAATTCAATTTACGTTTGTGCACTACTTTGGACACTTTTGGATTTTACATTTTGAATATTGGGATTGTTTTGGTAAGAGAATGAGTATTATATTTGGAAAGTTGAACATTATCTTTTATTATAATTCTATGTAAACCTTGTAGCTAAAATGTCCATTTTTCGAACATTGGCATTATTTAAAGGTCTAACAATCAAAATGTGATGATCAGTGCTAAAAAGTAACTAATTGAATAATGTCAAAAAGTAGTATTTTTATGGAAATTGAAGGGAAATGTGTTTATTTTTTATCAAGAACTGTACAAAAAAAGAAGTTCAACAAAATCAATGTCATTGCCCAATATTTTGTAGTTCATGATGAGGTTGGTTAAAAATATTTAAAATCATCGACAGTTCAATTTTCTAATTCTTACCAGGATGCTGTTGCCATGGGAACGCAATGTAGCTCCGAACCACTGATGAGACTTGAACTCCACCTGAGTGTTCACGTTGTTTATGTAAAAATATCGATCGCCTACAAAGGAGGAGAAAAAAACACACATTTAAGATCATATTTAAGACAACTGGTCTAAGATAAGATAAGAGTTTATTTATCCCGAAGGACATTGTTGTGCCAGAGTTACAAAAAAAACAATAAACACAGCAGCATAATAATAAAACTGTACACTAAAAGTGCAGTAAAGAAGCAATTAAATTTCTACAGCAGGGGTGTCAAACTACATTTCAGCGCGGGCCACATTCGCATAAAGGTTGCACTCAAAGGGCCGGTTGTAACTATATAAATATATACTATAAATATAAAATAATGTATTATATTACATTACTGCCTCTGAATTGGATTATTATTGGATAGGATAATAACTTACTAATTAACTACGTATGAAAGCAGAAGTCTAGGGCAAATAATTGCAAATCTCTTCAGTGGCATGTCACAAAAGGAGATGCATTGTGGGACATGTAGTTTATGGGCAACCTGCTTCTGTAAATCGGCATGTAACCGTATAATGAACGTATTATATTCTTTGCAAGCTCTTGCGGGGCCACATAAAATGAAGTCGCGGGCCGGATTTGGCCCCCGGGCCTTGAGTTTGAGACCCCTGAACTACAGGAAACATAGACGGTCACATCATTAATGTAAATACCTAGACACCCTGTCTTCTTGGAAAATGTGACTTCGGTGATTTCAGGATTTGCTATTCTAAGTAAGTCAAAGATCCCCTTGTCATCAGTGTTTGATTTCCGTGCTGTCAGGGCCTCATTCGAGTGTGTTCCCCACATGTTCTTGGCTTTTTTACATGGATATTTTATGGCCTTGTTCCAGGGCTCTGCAGTCTTAATCCATCCTCCATGCTCGGCAGACATCAAAAAGCTCAAAGGGACTCGGACCTTGTTGTTACTGTAAACCAAACGGCTGTACTTCATTGTCAGGATCTGTTTTAAGGAGAGGCCCATGAGGAGTGATGAAAAAAGGGGGAAGGAGGAGAGATCTAGGTGTGTTGTTTTTCTCACAAATGTTGTACTTCTGCAGCCTCAGCAGCATTAAACCTTCTCAAGTTTTGTTCTCAACAACAACATGCTCTAAAATGATTCATTTGGAGACGTAAGACGGTAATATTTATTTTTTGATTGCTATTCCTGGTCCACTCTTTATACGTGAGCCAGGTTGAGTTTACTTCCAATGGCACTCTGTAAAAACAAATCCCTGCCTGGAAAACACAGATCACTTGGGACTGATCCGACTCTTTTAAAGGGGCCCTGTAATGCTTTTTAGGGTTTTCACTTTCCTGTAGTGTGTTCTATAGGTTTGTGAGCATGCACATGGTCTGCAAAGGATAAACACACTATGTAACACTGTTGGTTAGCGCTCCAACACAGACACTTTGGTCCTCGGGTCAGACGGACGACTAACCGAATCACGGGCGCGGCAGACGAACAATAACCAGGTTGGCGGGAATCTCTATACAGGGGTCGGGGGAATCGGATAGTGCGATGTTACACAACCTCGGCGGATC